CTGATAGGTGTAACAGTTTGAGGTGTGGCACGATATCATAAGGGTGGCAGAAGCGAGCTTGATACATACACACTGTTCGCTTAGCTTGTAAGTCATACTTTTTCAGCCAACGAAAAATATTTTCTCTCACAACAAATCAGCCAATAGTACTTTTAGTCATGGCTTATCAGCCAAGTGAACGGGCAATAGTTCCGAGGGTTAAGAAAGACATGATTGTGACAAATAAACGAAACACATGTATAAGAAAGGAAGTGTGCAAGGCAAAGGTTGGGCTTGGGCATTACATCTACGGACCCCATACGTGCACTATGTCTAATGTCTTGAAACTGTACTTATATACACTGACTCCCCAAAACTAAAGGCCATTCTGATTGTATAGTTTTTTATCAGGGCTTTTGGATTCCAATTCGTTGGTACTTCTTTTTTGGCTATGCGCTTGTATGGCTTGTGCTACACGGTAACGTAGCTCATAAGAATTGTGCAGGGAATAGTATAATAATCAGAGACATATGGTACTGCAAAAATTCCCTGCTGAATTGTGTCGATTCACGGACGTGCCACCTCTTGAGTGAGAGAAATTCATTCATCGTTTTAAGAAGCATACTTTCCTCCTTTTTTCCTAAGAAGAACTGATGGAAGACGCAGAACAAAAAATGCAAACTACAGAATCTGGTCATGGGAATAACTTTTGCCTCGATGTGATCGGCAAAAGTTGCAATATTACCCTAAATGCAGAACGTGGACGGTCGTCTGGATGCTGAAGGTATCTTGTTTGCTTGAAGCCATCACTCCCTAGCCTACCGCAAACAGAGTCAAGTCAAGAACAGTTTCATCAGACACTATTTCACGTTTCACCGAGAAAAATCTCTGAGAAAATTCTCCGCGTCACTACTACACTGTCCCAGACTAATATCGTGATCGATCTTTCTGAAGCAACAGGCCGATTCCTTATATCCCAAACACGGCCAATGACCATCCGAAACCGCCCAAAATGCAAACGGTACTTCAAACAGGCATCATCCGATCCGAGAATAAAGCAGCAATTGAGTAGCTAGCTAGCTCGACAGAAATTCGAAGAGGCGCAGCACAAAACACCCACTCTTCCTTTCTCTGGCGAATGAATCGTGTATACATGGGTCTGTTCGCTGGTTGGTGCTGGTGCTGGTTTGGGCTGGCTGGTTGATTTGGGCTGGTTGAAACCAACGAGCGAGCGATACGCGTGCACTTTGGAACAACCGTCAGTGGAGCAACAGACGCCAAACTGTCTCTGCAACTGGCAAAAGTGCAGCATCTGTTTGAACACATGCATGAGTATTAAATATAGACTAAAAAATAACTAATTACACAAATTGTGACTACTTTGCGAGATGAATCTTTTAAGCCTAATTAGGCCATGATTTGACAATACGGTGCTACTGTAATACATGTGCTAATGACGGATTAATTAGGCTTAATAAATTCGTCTCGTGGTTTACTGATAGATTCTGTAATTTGTTTTTTTATTAGTATCCGAACACCCCATGTAACACCCCAAAACTTTACACCTGAAACTAAACAAGGCCTTAGTCTCTTGCCTCCAACAGGCTACAGTCTATGCATTGCTTATAGTCACTAGCTGGCCAAGTGATTCCTTGTAATGCTTATTACATACATACACACATTGTTATATCGACCACTCAAACTCAATGGCTCAAACTTTATCACATAACAATGTTCCACTCAAAGAAAATTGAATTAATTCGACAATTAGATGCACAAATAAAGCTGTTTGGCAGTGAATTCCATATGTATGAATACCTGAAGAAGACACCGCGATAAATCCTTTAACTAAATTCAGGTAAAGCAGGAAGAAATGATCGAGTTTTTTTTTAAACATGATTCACAATTCCAATCTCTATATATAGTAGGACTTGTTAGCAAAAGAGAGTAGCTGTCTGTTTGGAGAGCTAAACAAACCTGCATTACGCTTCTCTGCGTCTCTGGAATTTCTAGCTTTAGCCAAAAGGCTAGGCGCGGCGCTGTAGCGCGAGAGCGAAGGAACACTTGACCGCCTCTGGATGATCACCCCCCCTAGAGGTGGGGAGTGTGGCGGCCTGATTCTCTGTCGGCCGCTAATGCCAAGTACCGGACCAAGATAACTTTGTTAATCTCACTATATATGATTACATGGTACTGCTGCAGACTTTTGTGTAGTTGAAGTTTGCACTGCAAATAGTACGTGCTTGTGATCACTGAACCTAATGCAAAAAAACTGCTGGCTGACATGCCGGTTATTAGAAGTTTAGCATTCAAGAAGATGTATGTAGCTAACTGCTGGGGAACATCAGTTGCAAGTGTAAACAATTTGGTATTCTGTTTTTAAGAAAGATGGTGTGAATGCTTTTTTTTTTTTTGAAACGCGATCTTCATTACTCAGCAGAATCGCTGGTCACCAATTGTCTTAGATGATGTAAATAATGACGTACAGTCCAGTAATAAACAGCATGGTCAACAAGGCATTTCAGATTAGAGGGACCAATAACTTTGTGTCGAGTGGAGTGAGAAGAAAGCTGGAATCCTATGATGAGTGAGATGTTGTGTTTCACTCACATTTGGTCGCATTACTTATACAAGAAACAGGCAAGAACACAAAAAAAAATGATGGCCCGGGCCGGCCGGCCTTTTCGCACGGTATCAGTCATACAGGGAAGAACACATGGCAGGGGCAAAAAGCGCCTGTCCTGGATGCTAATTTTGACCCTGAATAGAAAACAAGATTTGCCCACTAAACCCCTTCGCCAATTACAATCATTGATTCTCGATCGAGGGTACAGTAAAAGCTTATCGCAATCTTCACGCACTCGAGGGAATTTTTGCTTGTTTGGTTGGTTGATTGGCCTGGTTGAATTTTAATTGGAGCGAGAGAAATTTGTATTTGGGAACAATTAAGGTCAGAGGAAGTTCCTACTACTGAAATTCCACCGAGGAGTTGGGGAGACACTGCGTGTGCGTGTAAAAGAGGCCGGAATATTCACCAACGTGCAAATTTAGTAATCTTCGCCCCATGAGCCATGACAACATACATAAAGGGGGACGCCACTGAGCCACTGAGAAAATGGTAAATGATGCGGACTTTTGCGAGATCCTCCTCATCTTGGCATATGAAAAATGTATTCAGCAGCCCAGGGTGGGATTGGGAATGAGCCTTTTTCCAATGTTCAGTACTCCACAAAGAGGTCGGAATGTTGGCGTGGTCAAACTGCTTTCACGTGATCATGCAGTACATGGTATAGATACGATGAATGTAGTGACTGACTGAGTTGTAGCCAAGGTTAATCGTCATCACATACGACGGCCAGGCCAAGGCGAAACAGAAAACATATATGCGTGCGTGCATGCTTTGCGGTGACGAAGTCCAACGGATCGTGCAATCCGATGTGAAGCTGATGCTTAAGCAGTTAAGCTCAACATGCGTAGCTTAATCGCCCTAAAAAACATATATGTTTGTGAACGAAGACAGTAATCGGTCGTTTGTTTGCGCAAATAGGAATCACTATTTCCATTTTTCTTTTAGACCGAAACGGCAGGGCGTCCCCTACCTGTATTTTTTTCTTTTTTCAATTAAATGAAAGAACGTTTATGCACAACAAAATGAGATTCAAGGCATCTAGGCCCAAAAAGAAAAGAGGTAAAAAGCTTCATGTGTAACTATCTCTCCACTGTTTGAGCTGTAGTTGTCTTGCTGGTTTGGCAACTAGAAACGGTTTCACCATCATTTTTAAGAAGAAATCTTTTTTCGGCCTTTCGGCACTTGGCAACTTGGCAGCTGATACCGGCCCGAAGTGATCCGGTACGCCGTGGGAAGCCATGGCCGCTATCGTGCCCACAGACGAGGCGGCGCGGGGCTGCGGCCTGCGGTATGCTTCGCGCCCCGGCGACGGTGGTTGCCACTTGCGCCGCCGCCGCCGCCGGGGCAAAACGGCTGGGGCCGGGGGGGACACCAGCGGCAGGCCGGCAGCCGAGCGGGCTCGTCCTTGTGGTGGACGAGCTGGGCTTAAGAATGTGCCGGTCTCGGCCTGCTGGACCTGGAAACGCGGCCTGGTGCGCACGTGCAGCGCCGTCTCATATCCCCGAGCCGATTGCATCTCGACACGATATGGGCAGTTGGGCACAAGCAAACAACTCAGGCTTTGTCGTTGTTTTTTTTTCGGAGGAAAAGGTCTTTTTGTCGGTTCGCGCTCGTGTGCAAACATCGTGCCAATTTTGTTTTGTATACAAATTGGTTTAATGAAACGCTGCAAAGCAATATCCGTTGTAGTCTAGCTGGTTAGGATACTCGGCTCTCACCCGAGAGACCCGGGTTCGAGTCCCGGCAACGGAAATTAATTTTTGCAACGTTGGCAACTTTGCAGTTCGTTCTTTTTGTGTTTCCTTTTTTTAATGATGATGAAACGTTTTTGTGTGCTTCATTTTCTGCATGAGCACTACTCATCTTCTTCTCCGAACAACCCGAAATTCAATTGGGGATGGAAACCATCAAACTATGTAACTATCTTGTTCCAACGTCAGGATCCATGGGCCCACCTGTCATCGTCCAAGGTTTTCCTCGTTTCCTTTCCCTATTTATTGGTCAGTCACCATGCACAGCAATTTACCCGCTCAGTTGGGGACCTCACAATTCGAACCATCTCAATGAGGTAAACTGGCAAATTAAGCCCGTCTTTTCTTGGTTGGTTTCTTCTTCGATTTCCTCTGTTTTTCCATTGCTGCGCGCGCATTGCTAGCCTCCGTTCTGTTCGCGTGGTGATCACTGCAACTAGCTGAATCAATCACCTGCAAATCGGATCCACGACAGAAAACATCACGTCCTTCGCAGATCGTAATATGGCCGTTAATCTCGACCCGGTTCCATCTCCATCCTCAGGGACTCCAATTGAGCCGGGGGCCGACAGATCAACGAGGCGGCAGCGGCAGGACCATCTTTTATCCAGGCAGGGGATCGGTCGACCGGGGCCGACGCCATGGCTCTGAGCCAGAACACGCAGTTCGGCCTCGCCACCGCGCTGTTCGGCGTGCTCTCCTTCGTCCTCGCCGTCCTCGCCGAGCTCAAGAAAGTAACGCGTCTTCTGCGTTGTTTGCATTGCCTTCTAGAGAGACAGAGATGCCGTTCGTTGCCTGCTGAAACTAACTGTCTCCATCTTTGTTTCATAAAAAAAAAAAACTGTCTCCATCTTTAGCCGCCGTACGGGACGCCGATCAAGGGCCGGGACGTCGTCGTCTGCCGGTTCCCCGCCGACCCGACGGTGGCGCTGGGGGCGCTGTCGGCGCTGGCCGCGGCGTGCAGCGCGGGGCTGGGCGCGCTCGCCGTCTTCTTCCCCTACGGGGGCAGGCGCGTCCCGAGGAAGGCGCTCTTCAGGCACACCCCACTCTACGTCTTCTTCCACGTCGCCGTGTAAGGAGACGACAGTGCGAGAAGCACGCGATCACTCTCGCTCCAAGGATGCATGCATGGCCACGCGTACGTGTGTGCTAACCGCTAAGGAGTCTCGTGTGTTTTTTTTCCTCCCGTGCAGAGGCGTCACGGCGGCCGGAGCGGGCACGACGGTGTGGGCGACCGCGACCGAGGCCATGCACCACGTCCGGAACATGCACCGCGACCTGGCCTACGCCTGCCCGACCGCCAAGACCGGGGTGCTCGGCGGCGCGGCGTTCCTCAACCTGGACGCCATGCTCTTCTGGATCGTCTGCCTCATGCTTGGCCGCAACGTCAGGGAGGACTACTTCGACGACCACGGCGGGTACGGGGGCGACGGCGTCGCCGGCACGGGGATCGAAGAGAAGTGATCTATTCGTCCACGTGGTTCGCAACATGTAGCGTCGGCATGTGTAACATGTACCATCACATCACTTGTATATTTGTATTTCGCCGTGTCTTCTAAGGGATTCGCCGTTCGTAGACACATCGTCAGAAACCAAAAGGTCCACAGTAAATTGCCGTTCCAAAAAAAAAAAAACGTAATTTCTAGACATCATGCAAGTAATTTTTCTTTAAAACAGAACACTCAAATTTCTCGCCTTTGATTGACGACTTTGGTTTGTCCACAAAGAAAAAGGATCACCCCAAGCCTCCAACATCACTCCACTTTTCTAACCATTGCATCATCTGATTTCACAAACTCCTTGTTCCTTCTTCCCCGTATTGTTGTTGCTTCCTTAGTTCCTCGTATAGAAATATAGAGAGAATTGGGAACATTACACCTTTTAGGGTCGAGTGATGTTCGATATATATAGCCGCAGGGGAACAATTTGCGTTACAAATCAAGATGTGTTAAATCTAATACCTCCCAAATTACCTCATCCTCTGCAACTCTGCAATGGCTTGCCGCCACGGCGCGGTTACAAGTCAAGTTGTGTTATCCAAAATACACGGTTTTAATCGGTATGGTTATCCGAATGCATATACTGGTTTTGGTTAACTGAATTCATATATTTGGCTTGGTTAGCTAAATACATGTGTTCACTTGGCATGGTTAGCCGAATGCACATATTCACTTCAGCCTTATTTGGATGTGTATGTATTCATCTCAATCCACATGTGTTGAAGTGGATTAGAGTGGAATTAAACTAAGTTCCATTCCAATCCACCCAACACATGTGGATTGAAGTGGATATACATACGTCCAAACAAGATCTTAGATTTTGAAGAGGTTATTGTGAGTTACTACCAATTGCTTCTAATTATGTCGGAGATAGAACACGAGGAATTTTGAGGTGGCGGCAACGGTCTACACTCGGGGGCGAGGGCATGACAACAACGACGGCTCACGGTCCACTCGCGTGATATCGAGGGAGTGATGATGCTAGCGGCTTTCGGGGGCGAGGGAGTGGTGGCAACGCCGGCTCACGGTCCACGTGCCGCGGGGGCGAGGGAGCAATGGCGCCTGTATGCTGAGTGCAGGAGCGAAGCCAAGATAAAATATCGTCGAGGTCGATTCAAACACAATACTAACTCTTAGCTTGTGATAATATAATATACTCCCTCCATGCCAAATTATATGACGTTTTAGATTTTCTAGATACATACTCCATCCACCCTAATATATAAGGTGTAACCACTTTTTATCCATGTCCCATAATATAAGGCATGCTCTCTCTAGACACACGTACATCGATGTAGTAATACTAGCGTTGAGAGAGAGAATTAAATATGTTCCTCGGTCTTTAAACCAGAGGTGATTACGCCTTATATACTTGGACAGAGGGAGTAATTTTTTCTATGCACTTAATACACACTATGTCTAAGAGCAACTCCAGCAGGGTCTCTACTTGAGCCCTCATAGCTAAAAATGGATGCTCAGGCAAAAAACGCAGCTCCAACAGAGCCCCTACTAGAGCCCCTAATTTAGAGTGGGCACCCAGATCCACCCTCCAGACCCCATTTCTGTGGGAGGATGGGGGCTCACCCCTCGGCCCCCATCTGGTCGTTTCCTCCTCCACACTTGAAAGGTCCTAATGGCTAGAGGGGGAGTGAATATTCTATTAAAAATTTCTACAACAACACTTAGCAAATCGGTTAGACAAATATGAGGCGAAGTGAAAGTTGCGCTAGCCTACTAAAATACAAGCCACCAACCACAATTCTAGTGACTATGATCTCTAAGCACACAAAGATTATGTCACTACATTAAGTTAATGTGCTCTCAAAGACTAATTAAAGAGCCTCACTAACCAAACTATATTGACACTTGCTTGCCCTCAAAACTAGCTACACTAAAGGGCCAAGCTACACTAAGAAATGTAAATACACGGGAAGGAGGGAGTGTTATACCGCCGTGTAGAGGAATGAGCCAATAACCAATGGAGCCAATCAATCACAAAGAATGAATGACAATAAAGACCAATCACCTCGGAATCAAATGATAACACAATGATTTTTTACCGAGGTTCACTTGCTTGCCGGCAAGCTAGTACTCGTTGTGGCGATTCACTCACTTGGAGGTTCACGCGCTAATTGGCATCACACGTCAAACCCTTAATAGGGTACCGCACAACCAACACAAGATGAGGATCACACAAGCTACAAGCAATCCACTAAAGTACATTTTAGCTCTCCGCTGGGAAAAAGTCAAGAACCCTTCACAATTACCACGATCGGAGCCAGAGACAAGCACCTTCCTCTGCTCGATGATCTTCGCTGCTCCAAGCCGTCTAGGTGGCGGCAACCACCAATAGTAACAAGTGAATTGCGCAGCGAAACATGAACACCAAGTGCCTCTAGATGCAATCACTCAAGCAATGCACTTGGATTCTCTCTCAATCTCACAAAGATGATGAATCAATGATGGAGATGAGTGAGAGGGCTTTGGCTAAGCTTACAATGTTGCTATGTCAATGCAAATGACCAAGAGAGTGAGCTTGAGCTGACCATGGGGCTTAAATAGAGGCCCCCTCGAAATAGAGCCGTTAGACTCCTTATTGCACACTTCTCGGGAAGACCGGGCGCGCCGGTCAGAGGTGAGTGAATCGCCTCCAGCGTTCAGTCGCCCGATAAGCGCCACGTGTCACTGTTTTAAACTTCGGTCGTCGATCACCAACAGCTAGTTCGCTCCCACGCCCGCGTTTAAAGAAGGACCGGACGCGCCGATCCAGAAAACGGCACGCCAGCCCCGCGTCAGATCAACAAAAACTCACGCGCCTCCACGCTATGACCGGACGCGTCGATCAACACCAGCAATCGCGCGTCAGGTCGTTTTCAGAGAGCTCCCCGAGCACCTAAACGTCGACCGGACGCGTCAGGTCAGCCCTGACCGGACGCACCACCACGTCAGGTCCACACTGCCTCAGCTACGCGCTTGCGTCACCATACGTCATAGGTGACCGGATGCACCGCAGTCGAGTCCGGTCACTTCTTGCGCCAGCGTCCGGTCAGAGACCGACGTTGCGTCTCTCTTTGCTACGTTGACCGGACGCACCGAACCCCGAGTCTGGTCACTACGAACACTGTGTCCCGTCAGTGTTTTTTCAGAGAAAAACACTTCTCCAACTTCGCCAATTTCTACACCCTTGCTCAAATGTGCCAACCACTAAGTGTATCCCCTTGTGCACGTGTGTTGGCATATTTTCACAAACATTTTCAATGGTGTTATCACTCACTAGAATCTAAATGCATATGCAATGAGTTAGAGCATCTAGTGGCACTTTGATAACTGTATTTTGATATGAGTTTCACCCCTGTTAATAGTACGGCTATCGATCCTAAATGTGATCACACTCGCTAAGTGTCTTGATCACTAAACAAAAACCAGCAAGTATCCGATGATCTTCTTTCCCTGAGCCGATGACATCTGATCGCAATCACTGAAAGCTGCATCGGCTCCATCTTCTTCTTGATCTTGATAACTTCAAAATTGATCTTTCTCTGCATCCTCATCCATCTGCTTTAGCCGATTAGGAGCTGGCCCCCCGAGTCTATAATTACAATCGGCTATCTAAAGGCAACAATCATGAACATCGGCCTCTTCCCTGCTATTGACCATTAAGTATATGTATATGTGACTAGCCGAAGAACACCATGCCAAATCGATCCCACAAATATGAACTATCAGCTGGCAACAAACTCGATCATAGCAACAGAAGTTAATCGGCAGTATGGAAATATGCTGCATAAAAGCTCAGGTATTCTAGCTGATAGTCTTCTTCCAATGAGTCGAGGAATTCACTGGCAGCGATATTACCTTATTCCAAGCCTCACCTACACATGTGAATTTTGAAGTGTCTACCACGCCATCTCGTATCTGCACGTATGTTGCTCCACTCTGAGTCGATGAGTGCCTCTGCTGCAACTCTCACAATCAGCTGAACTTCTTTGGCTTTTCATGATCAATGTCGTGCATATATATGTATAGAAATCTGACTTGTATGCACCACATAAAGGGCTCTACTGGCCTGACGTCTTGATCTTCCTTGAGCCGATGACTAACTTCGATATATTATCTGGCCCAAACCACGGCACTTGGTTTCTTGACTCTTGGTTGCCGGGCTCGTTCGCTGGTCTGATAGAGACCAGCCAGCCGGCTGATCCCCCTCATGTATTACTATTTATTAAACCAGCCGAACAATGTTTTTCTCTCACAACAAATCAACCGAAACAATATTTTTCAGTCAAGTTTCAGACCAGCGAACGGGGCGTAGCGACTCTTGCACCTCGACGTCGCAGTTCATTCCAACTTACCAGCCATTAGTGGGCTGATGCGACTATCGGCTATTCATTTGCCAATCGATCTTTATTACACCATTTCTCTGCTTCTCTGGGAGTTCTGAAAACAAGTATCGACCTACCAGAACTTCTAATGCACCGGTTGTCCTTTTTACAGAGTATAATATTTTTGGCCGGCCAATCTCGGAGAGGGCCGGAGTAATCCAGCCAATCGACTTTCGCAAGTCGAACAGGTACTGTTATGCTGTTTAGGCGGACGCAGGACATCTGATGCTTCTCTTGGACAGCCGATCGGTGCTCCTTTGCTTGATCGGCTGCTATTCGTGAGGCTCAAAACCGATGCATGGTGATTGGCCCCTTTCCTGCTTCTTCCCAAGGGCCGATGATGGTCTCTTCATACATCTCGCTTCTAGTCCCATAAATATCAAAGCTGATTGCTTCTCCAACCTGAGCTGGCTCAAATGACACTTTATTATATTTTCATCGGCTGCATGAATCGTTCCAATGATGCTTGTCTGGATTCCATCAGCTTTTGAACAGCCCCAGCCGATCGGCTTTCAACCTTGTTTGCCTGCAGCTGATAGAATCTGATTGCTACAGAAAGACTCCATCATCTTTAATACCTGAG